CCCCGCCGCGAGCCCCGCAGAGGCAAAGTAGCCGCGCGCACTGCGCGTGCGCACCGCAGAAGCGCGTGGGGGCGTGGCCGACGCGGAGCCGGAGGCGCGGCCGGGAGAGGAAGGGAGAGAGGGAGGGAGAGAGGGAGGGAGGGAGAGAGGGAGGGAGGGAGGGAGGGACGACGGCTGCGCAGCCGCGGGAGGCCCGCGAGCCGAACGCCCCAAACGCCGCGCTTCTCCCGCCGGCCCCGCCCCTACCCGTCGCTTAGCAACAGGAAACCAGTCGAGAGCCGCGAGGTTTTGGAGACCCCGCCCCGGAATGACCTCCGGAGTACCTGCCTAGTGCTCGCGCCGGGTGGCGGGGCGTGGTGCTAACCGACGGGAACTCCCTTTCGGCAGAGAAAACCAGTGTCGCTGGACCCACCCACTGGAGGGTGTGCGGTGTGCCTTTGCGAGGAGTTTCCTGAGGCAGTTTCCCAGGGCGCTTTACTCCGACGTCGGTTGTGAGGTTCAGCCATCCTTGGTCCTGGGACGCCTCAAGCTGCTCCTGCAGTTCTCCGGTCCTCTGGCAAGGATGCTAACTGGCCTTTCAAGTGCCGTCGCTTACTTCCCCAGCTGCGAATCTGTGCTAAAACGGACTGAAGGAGAGTCAAGTTGGGAGAGAAATTCCAAGTCCCTAACATGCAACTGCTCTTGGTTCTTTTTTTCGGCCAAGACATTTATGTGAAAGCAGCCGGTCGTTTCAAAGAGTAGCACGCTTGAGAGCCACTACGAAGACAGTAGAGAACCTGCCAAGAAGACCCAGAGAGGCTAGACACTTCGTAGTCTTCCTAAAATAAGGAGAGCATTCTCAGCTCCATACTTGGGCTTATAGACAATTAATCCCAAAGGCCTGAGCTCACAAGACAGATGTGCCACTTAGAGAGCTGATGTTAATCCTCTGTGGATTTCAGGCAGCAGTACACTTCCAACTTTTTCCTCTTTGTATGGCAAATTCTGACTTACCACTTACTACATTTTGTGCATAGTCGCCAGGTTTTTCAGATTTTTAAGCTTAAGATTGGCCTTTGTAAGAAAAACGCCTAGCAAAAATAGTGTAATTGTTTTAGTTTTATAGACTGTATTTGCATTTTTGTACAAAAAAACGGGCTTCATTATAACATCTTAATACATGTGTCTTATATATTTTTGTCATATTCCTTGCCCATCACCCTTTCTTGTCCCTTCTACTGATCCCCCTTTCTCATCCCAAATAGGCCCCGTTTATTTTAATGAATTTTTATCGAGATTCTAAAAGTACAGATTTTTATTTCACACAATTTAAAATTGTATGTGTATAAGTGTTTTACATGCATACATGTCGTGAGTGCCACATGCGTGCCTGCTGCCCCCAGAAATAACTCTGGTACTGGAGTTATAGGTGGTAGAGAGCCTCCATGTCGATGCTGATGAAGGAATGCAGGTCCTCTGAAAAGTATCAAGTGGTATTTACCGCTGAATCTTCTCTTGAGCCTATTGTACAATTTTATCCCAGGGGAGACATAAACCACTGGACCACCTGTCCTCATACCTCCAGGGACAGATGGAGGCATGATTCCACCGAGGGTCACTTTGGAGAACCAATGTGTTTCTTGGGCTTCCTTCCGGAGTGTAGGTGAGGGGCTATATACAGGGGTGTGGGTGCCTCTCTGCGCAAAAGACCACACCTGGAAAGTATTTACCCACCAGGATTGAAGGCTCTTCTGTTGCAGCTTCATAAATGGAGACCGATCCTCTCATCTCCCCCATGAGTGTATACTCTTCTCCCTCCCTGAGGCCATGTGCAGTTCAGGCAGGATCACACACAGTAGCTGGAAACACCCTTCTACCAACTTGTATAATCCTTTTGCAAGGAAATATAGCTGAACTCCACTTGATGGAGTATGCTTGGCTAGGAGGACAGTCACAACAAGGCCCACTAGGACATTTGGGGCATGTTGTTTACTAGTTCTGAGACAGAGTCTCACTATGTGTTCCTGGATGGCCTAGAACTCTACATGGAGTTGGCCTCAATCTCATGGAGATGTGACTGCTGGGGTTAAAGATAATTGTCACCACACCTGGCTTATTGACCTGCTCTTCATTGTTTTCACATAACTTTGTATCTAAAGGGTTTTCATGAAGTTTCATGAAGTCAACTTGCTGGTCTTAGTGATGTTAAGATATTGAGAATTTTTCAAAAGTCACAACCAAACTGGAACTTACTGATTCAACATTTCTCTTTCTGTAGCAAGCATTGGAAGAGTACCTCAGAGTGTGTACTGGCACAGAGAAACTATGAAGCTACAATACCTAGAAGAGGGTAAAGGCACAGGTTATAAGTCAGTCTGTTATTGTACTTTTAACACAAATGTACAGTGCTTAAAAAATTTACTCTGTGAGTCCTAATACCCACCATAAGTTGAAAGTTACAAAACTTCCAGAACTCAAAAAAAAAAATCTTTAGCACCTTGAAAAACTTCAAATTCATTTTATGCAATCCAGAAAAACTTAGGAAGATATTGATTTAAAGGGGTTGCTTAAAATTGCTAAATAACATTGAAAAAATTACTGAACAAAGCTAGAAGGAAAAAAGATGCAATTGTAATGGAAACTTTTGTCTAAAGTTAGGTGGTGAATGATAAGCCTCTATTTCCTAATAACTAGGACTTAGAGTTTACTTTAAGTCATTGTATAGCTTGATCCATCTGGGGAAGCTTAAAAGCAAAAATTTATGAATGTCATTTGGAAAAAGATAGACATGTACATTAAGTCAAATTTCTGTTGGGCCTCGAAAAATAACTCATAAAATACCAAAATAAATTTTTGAAGTTTCAAATTTGGAAATATGTCAGTGTAAGCCATTCTTCCTCCAGATCACAATCTAAACGATGTATTCCATTGCTTGGTCAAATGAAAAAAGGAGGAGTATTCAAATAATCCCAAACTACAATAGCCTCCAATTTACTCCTGACTTTTATTGGTGGAACTTGTGTTGTGCTCAACTTACATGCCATAACTTTTCACCTATGGAGTTTGGACATGTGATAGTTATATGTGATATGGTCTTCATTTTTCCCAGAAATCTTTCTCTATCCACAAATAAATGCCATCAGTGTATTATTTGTCCCTATTCCTATTCAAGATCAACATTGTTAGGAACCAGGCCAGATCATCAGATTATGAAGCACTGAAGCCACCCACATTCTCAAGAAATATACTGAAGGAAAAACATTTTACAAGACTTTTACTGACCCACCCTCACATACTTCTGCACCTTGCCTCAGACCTTGGTTGAAAAATTGTAAAATAATAACAATAATAAGTTTCTTGTACTTATGTGTTCTCATCTTTAAAAGAAAAAAAGTAAAGCTTGGGAAGACAAAGAAGAGTACCTTTAAAGACTTTTACAGCCAATGTTTGTGGGAACATAAATGGAGACAATCTTTCTAATGGCAGCTTATAAATATCAACAAATTGTTAAGTGTGTGTGTGGATATGTTAGTGTATGTATACTATTTACATGTATGTTTATGAATGTTGGTTCAGCAATCCTTCCAGATATTTAACTGAAGAAAAGAATTACGAAAAAATCCACAAAACTATTTATAAGATTTCTTAAAACCTTTGCTTGTAGATGCAAACTTAATCTTCATTAATAGAGAAGCTAGGTAAGTAAACATATATACCTGTACACTAATTAAGAATTCTAGCATTAATGCTAGAATTAATGAAGTTTTATAAAGTGAAAGGTCATAGATTGTACCTTGGGAGGAAGTACGAAATAGCATCATGAGTTGTCAGCTTATTTTGATTATACAGGAAAAAGCAAAAGTCTGGAAGTATACTCCCAATTATCAATGAGAGTTATCTCTTGATGGCTAAGCTCTTGCTTGACAATGTGCATTTTCTCTGGTTTTTTTTTATTAAAGTTGAAATGTTTTATGGTACAAATAAATTTGTTCTTCTAAATGAGTGGAGTAGTTTGTCAGAATTGTTGATTCATGTGCTGTTTGGTAAGCTCTTTAGAAAACTACATGAAAATGGTCCCTCCAGAACTAGTGCCAAGTGACATTTCTAAGCATAGTCCAAGCCTCATTGGAGAATTGATATGGAAATGGATTTGAACTCTCAAAAGTTTGCCTAAAGACTTGATTTGAGAAGATATTTTTCCAAAGACAACAGATAAATGAATAAAAACTTGTTTGACATACCTAACCATGGGGGAAATGAAAAAGCTGCAATCATATATCTGGATGTCTTTTCATTTTTAACCTATCAATTAATTTTTTTAATAACGATAATCTCCAAATGCTGGTGAGACTATGAAGTATCAGGGTCATTCATGTACTAAAAATGAGACTGTGAAATGGTATAGCCACTCTGGAAAAGATAGGAATTTCTGAAAAATCTAAGTATGCCTGGCCATACAAACTAGCAGTTATAAGCCTAGACATCCATCCAAAAATAGAAATAAAAACAACTCTCAGGACACAAACAGGTAACAAGTCCAAGGGCCAGGACTTGGGAATCGAGTCAATCTGATGGCAAAGTGAGGGAGGTCAAGGTGAAGCATGAGAACAGTAAG